CAGCTGGTCAGGAGGAATCCGCCGTCGTCTTCTGGTGGAATCGACCTTCGAATCTCTTCACCCAACACTTCCACTCAAAATGGGAGTAAGCTAAACAATTATGAAACAAAAGATTCCTCAAAACCCAACTTTTCTTCTTATATATAATTATTCGCCAAAATGGGTGCCAGGCAAGATCCCATCGCTAATCCTTACGTTTGTTCGTATAACTTACCATCAAAGGTAAACTATGTGCTATTCATGGATAGGTTAATAAGTCTTATTATGGAAGCTACACTAAGCTCTATTACTTGTGTTATCTCTGGATGCTCCTCCAGAGTTTGTATCAGAGCTTGAAGAACTGATGTTTTCGTATATAGACACAACATCAAAACTTACTAGCCTATCCTACTCGGAAAGTGTCTGCTGATCAATGAATTTCACAAACTCATAAGAATTTTTAACCCAAAATAGCCCAAAATAAGCAGTTTTACTTAGTTGTATGCATAAAAATGTGAGATTTTATGTATCAGACTTCTTTTACTATTTACTATTAATCTTAGAGGGACGCCCTACTTGTGAACCTTAGGGAGACCGTAAGCCATGGAGGCCCTTGCATCACACTCTAGCAGTGAATTCATTTTCCACTTCTCCCCTTCACCATTAATTAGACATAACTCAAGGACACCTTTTAGCCTAGTTTTCAGTTTTTCTGTTGGATCTCCTCTTCTGGTGAGATCCACCTTCGAATCTCTTCTTCATACACTTTCATATGAAATGAAAGTCTCAACAACAATGTTGCCTCAGGAGATTCATCGAAACCCAGTTACTCTTCATGGTTAGTTCTCATACGATCTTTTCAGCACCCATTAAGGACTGTATTTTCCAGCTATTAAAAGATTACATTATGGCCCAAATGTGTCAGGGCCGGATCTGGCGTAATAATCTAATGCTCCTGGTTGCTATCTCCCAAGGGGAACTCGAAGATATGGTTCGTTCTCGAGGTAAACCTACTTCTAGCATTTAAGCTTTAACAATTTTTTGGGGCACCTTTGTTATCCAATCAAAGAACTGACGATTGTAAAAGTATTCTTTTGAGGCTATGCCAAGACTAAATTCTGTGAATTAAAGACAGTGTATAACAATTATTTTATTGGATTGATGGTGAAGCTACCATGGAGAAAAGAAGCCATGCCAAAATTTCACTCAGTTATGTGTATCAAGGTCTATATTCACTGAGACTGTAGTCGATCAGGATTGAGAACAGCATTAAAAATGTATCACATTATAAAATTCAAGATTTATCTCAATTTAATTGTTGTTATCATCGCTATAATTGCTATAGAAACCCAGACTAAACTGAAAAGTAAATGACCGTCTAGCAGAACTTCAGCTTCAAAGTTATTTCCATCGAATTACTCTGGTGATAGTGTCGCGTACTCGAATGGATGGTTGATCAAGACTTAGGGCTCCTGAAAGACTATTGTCCAAACGCGAGCACTGAAGTGAAGCTAGATTTCGAAGGCGTCCTTAGTAGATTAATACTGGAATCATTTTCAATTCTTTTGAGAAGGCAACCGCCTTGGACTTTTGTCCGTTGAATTGTGTGAAGTAGACCTCGGATCACTGTCTTATGACCGTGATGACTCCGTGCTGAGTTTTGATCTGTCCTACGATGGATATCATCAGAGCCAGAAACTATTAGTTACTTCTTATAGCTCATTTTGCAATCTCAATGAGACATTCCATGATTTGTTTGGCTCTTTTATGCTTATCCTACATACATTTAACTAGTGAAAGTGATGCAGATATGGGATTGGATGTGGTCACAACTTTTGTCAAGGTAAATAAACTGGTGTATGCTCCTGTAATCCTGGTTTTGTTATAGCGTCATGGATACGTGTTCGTGTGTATATTCAATACTAACAAGCTGGTATGAAGAACAAGATGGTGTGT